TATAGTCATTTGGTCCATATTCTTTTGTATATTATTTATATTTTGTAATTTGGTTTTTGGTGCTTTTGTTACAATAAAGCATTAAAAACTCCAGAGTGTTGACCTTTTCTAAAATATCCTATATTTTAAAATTGAATTCGGCTCTGTCCTTTTATCTACCGGTTGAAATATTGGGAAAAAGGATCAGGGATGGAGCATGAGGATTTGCATAAATCTGGTAAATTAAACAAACTACGAGTATATCCTCAGAGACATGATATATTTGATTAAATTGTGTTGATAGTACCAGAATAAAAAACCAGTAATTACACCTGGTTAATTTGATTTTAGCATCAAATCCTGTGCATTAGCATGTTTCGGTGTCAACAAATATTGAATTAGAGACTGAAAAGCAATAACACAAGCGAATTGGATTTGAATGTGAATTTGAGGAAATACAACGCGGGTCGAGTGGTCCCATAATAATTATCGCGATTGTTGATATGAAGTTGTCTAATGAGTATTTGAAACCCCAATGTGAATTTACCTAAACCCGACTACATTGTTTCATTTCGGAAACCAAGTCCCAAGTTGGACGCAGTGCCGGTTACTGAGTTTACTTTGGTACATCACATTATTAAGATTTTTTCTAAGAAAAAGGAAATAAAAAAAGAATGTATGCATGAAGTATGAGAAGAGTTTAATAATTTATTTTAAGAAATAAATGAATCCTGTTAAAATGTAATTATAAAATTATTTATTTCTACAACTGTTACTAACGCTGCAGAACCCTTATACAGTCAGTTAAAAGTAATTTTAATCAATTCATATTATAGCTAGTATAAATATATTTATAAAATAAATATTTTGCGTGCTTAATTACTTACGTATTCATCTATCATTTACGAGGAAAATATTATACATAAATGAATCCTGATGAAGATTAAGTTGAATATTCGAAACATTTTATGGTTATTATTCCAGTAAACACAACCAGTTATCGTGTATATTTTAATGAAAAATAAACATTGGGATACATGTAAATTTTTATCGGGATCGAAACAGGCCTTTTTATGATGGAGGGGTAATTACCCAAAAATAACGTCCCTACGAATCTGGCGGTGTTGTACGGAAACGGTTCCTTATCAATGAAAGTTTCGTGCAGTTGATGCGTGAAATTGTGTTGAAAATGATAGTGTCGCCTGTCGATAAGACCATAAAAACTGAAATAGAAATGCGTTTTTCCCAGTTTTGTATATGTTTATGCCTAAATGATAAAATCCATATTGATGATAACGACGGTGCTCGTTTGGAAATAAATGTTTAATTTTATTTTATTAGAAACGCTCATTAAATGTTAATTAAACGAAAGTATAAAAACAAATTGCGCCAATAAAAAATGTTTTTTCTATATTGTCATTATTTATTAATAAACTATTAAAAGGTTGATATAGTTAAAAACAATTTTAACATTACGATAATTGTGTGAATAAGTTTTTTTTTATTAACCAATCTGTTATCGGCGCAGTCAACAGTTTTAAAATGATTTTCATTTCTACGTAAATCGGTCGCTAATTTCTACATAATATATTCATCCAGTGTTATAATATGTTATAAACCTTTTTCCGATTACAATATAATTGAAATGGAAAACAATTAGTTGATTTATTAGTTTGTTGAAACACTTAAATATCCGTTAAGTATGGTATTAAGTGAATTTAACTACATACATAACATGATTCAAAAAATGGTGAGTTTATTTTTGAAGTTCTATATTTATATCAATCTATATTAGAATTAGAATTATTTATTGTTTCTTAATAATTACAATTATAACAGACTGACAATAAAATTATAATATGTAGCAAGCAATATTAGAAAGTAAATTATATAAAAAAAAACTAATAGAAGCATTGAAAAGTACAAAGAGATATTGACTCATATTGAGCATTTTTTCAAGCAAAATACCATCATGATGTTAAATATTGATGGAACACTGGAAGTGTTAATGCTTCTACAGGGTGAGTCGTAACTATTGGGGCATAGAGTAAGCGCCGATTGGCGAGAATTGGCTTAATAAAATATTGCTGTGGAAATTTTGAAATATTTTCTTCATTATTTGGTAATAATTTTACAACATATTCTTAAATCGTTATTAAAATTGGCACAGAACCATAATTTTAGGCAAGGAATATTATTTTATATCTTGATACAGGGGGTGCCACACGAGCGATTCCTGTTGATGAAATTTTTGACGAAACTTTTCAGTAATTTTGCTATGTAATGATTTATTATTTTTTTTAATTATAATAATGTATTGAATCATTCATACTAATTATTATGCCTGAATTTTCGTGCTAAATATTGGTTTTTGTCATTTTGTTAAAGTAAGGTTTATCCGCGGAATCTCGCATTTTTAAAGACCTAAAAAACGTATCTAGAGGTCTTACATAATGATTTATTGTATTTTTGAATGATACTACGTATACTAATGTATTGAATCATTCGTATTAAAAACTATATCTGGAATCTCGTGCTAAATATTGGTTTTTGATATTTTGGTAGAATAATGTTTTTCCGCCAAACCGCGCATTTTAAAATACCCAAAAAGTGTAATTAAAGGTCTTGCTATTTGATAATTTATTATTTTTTTTTATTGATACTTGTTTATTGAATCTTTGGTATAAAAATTGTATTTGAAATCTCGTTTTTAATTTAAAGATCTAAAAACTATTTAGATGTCTTGCTATTTAATGATTTTTTATTTATTTTATAGCTAGTGGTGTACTAAATTATTGGTATAAAAATTTAATTTGTAATCTCGTGCTAAATGTGTTTTTTTGGTCTCTTTGTTCTCATAGTCTTTTGACGACAAAACACCGGACTTTAAACAGACCCAAAAAATATAGTTTAAAGCATTTCTCGGCCATAATTTTTTGTTTAATCAATAAATACCCAATGAATATTTGGTATAAAAATTATATTTATAATCGCATTGTAAATCTGTTTGTTTCGTCCCCGTCTTTGTGTAAGATTATCTTATTTTAAATATTAATTCAAATTGAATTAATTCATTTTTTACTAATTTTTATTTATTTCTAAACTTTCCTGATACTAAAGTCCACCTAAACCAAAGATTTTGCCGAATAACAATATCAAAACATTAAGGGACCGCCGCGCGGTTTGTCTGCTAGCTTCAGCATCATAGAAAATGTAATATAGATATTTTTATGTAAAATTATTATACTTGTTTTAATTTAATAATTTCAACCTTTTTCAAAAAATTAAAAACGTCAATGAACATTTCATATGTCTCTGAAAGTGCTTTCAAATGAGAAACGGTAGACAAACTTGTAGAGTAGTACAAGCATTTGCTTTAAATTTTTAAAAATATTTATTAATTTATCCTGAACTTCTAAAGATTTTTCTAATTTTATGATTGAATCAGTTTCACAGTATTTATATCTGTTGAGTTATCACATGAGAAAACGTCTAAGTTAGAAAATATCAGAAGTAAATTTATAAAATCGAAGTAATAAATAAAATAATATCGGAATAAATACTAACATGAATTCAAACTAAACTGCTTGAACATGATAGAACCAGATTAAATAGATCATCATCCTTGAATATATCAACATTTATCCCTATGAACCAATATCCAGAGTTACCTAAAAGTTAAACTACCGGTGTGTATCATTTGTGTTATTGCTCAAATTCGTACAGCTAGTAAGTAAAACATATCAGCGATTTACGTACAAAATTAATGTTGGAGAAATCTGCACAATCTGTAACCATCAAAGACCAGAAATACTGCATCATATTTTTTTAATACCTTATTCAGGTATCTCAACCTTTAGTATGTTTAGAAAATTGAAAACTAGATTAATTATTAACATATTTACTAAATTACGGTTCTTTGTATGAACTAGTACATAATCTTTAGAATATGCTTAAAATAAAATGGTTTATTGTCAATGAATAAACGCAAAAATGTATATTCTCAACAATTTGTTTCTACAATTCTTTTTTGTACTTATTCAGTGCATTTAATATTTTTTTGCTAATTTACTAATATTGCTTGCTATAAATAATACTATAAAGTATATATACAGTACTTATTATTTTGTATTAGGCATGGCCGTACTTTCATAGCCAACATGTGACAACTACGATATCCCCGCTATCGCTATGCTCTCTGGCTTTGTGATTGACATTCGGTTCGGCTAATATCCCTTCTCCACATCTTGCCTAACACGAAAAAATAAGTACTATATTTTTTTTTAATATTTGTCATTACCTGTTATAAGAAAATTGTAATTCTTAAGAAACAATAAATAATCCTATACCTATCTAAATTTCTGTCTATAGTTCTTAGGCCCCATTTCTATTACTTTCATAAATTCATAATAATATGTTAATTCATTAAAAAGAAAAGTAACTCAAAATAAATAAACAATTCAGATTACGAATTTTGAACAAACACGCCTGTTAGCTCTGTGTAACACTTTAACATTTGATCCTTATTACAAATAAATAAATAAATAAATAAATCAAAATTATCACAGATGCTATTGAACAAGGTACACATGTTGCATATAAGATATCTTAAACTAAAATTGATCAGAGGCGTACGTAATTACGTAATTAGAAATTTTCTAAACACCATAAAAATAATCTTACTGTTTAATAGTAAACACACTTTGTTTTGTAATTAACATAAATATTTTCTTAGAACTTTGAATTTCCAAAAATTAGATCAACAACTCCATTTTGTTAAATACCAGAGTAATGAATTATCTAGTTTGACTCATCATAATTGAATACCAAGAATTTTATGTTATTTTTCTTGCAAATAAAAGGTAACATATAAAAAGTCCCCAGTATGAAGAAAACAAAACTTTTATTATCTTATCAGTAGATGTGTTTTTTTGGAACAATTATTAGATTAGTACCAGAATTTCCCATTTATACAATGTAGGAGTGTATTTTAATCTAATTGTTTTTTTCTGTTGTTTCAGATTAATTTCCTGATCTAATCAATTTTTAATTTGGCACCGAATCTCAAAATTAACCAAGACGGTTGAAAATCGTCTTTCGGCAAGCGGATAATGAAGGATTTGTTTTATTTTTGTATTGGTGTATTATTTTGCAACTTAAAATTAACGATAGCACATTATACTCAACAGTGGGCAGTGCATATCCATGGTGGTGGAGATATTGCCAACGCGGTAGCTAGGGACCATGGTTTTATTAATCATGGGTTGGTAAGTCCCCCCCGTTACTTGCCTTGTGGCACCTCGGATATTACACCCGCTTTCTTTTAGATATTCGACGATCATTATCATTTTTCCCATAGTGATGTAGCTAAGCGGTCGCTGAGGCCGAATGTAGAAAAGAAAGCCAAACTTGCTGTGGATACTAGAGTTAGTTGGGCGCAACAACAAAGAGCTAAAAGGAGAGTGAAACGAGACTTAAAAGTACAAGACAGTGATCCAAAATGGCCATATATGTGGTATTTAGTAAGTAAACAGTAACATTGTTTTGTTTGGAATCGGTGACGTCATGACTATGATGGTTCATTGTTGGTGATTTTAAAATTAGCAAGACATTTTATTTAATATATTTATTTTAGAATCGAGGTGGAGGTCTAGACATGAATGTCATACCAGCTTGGATGGAAGGAATTACGGGTAACGGAGCAGTAGTTACAATATTGGACGACGGATTGGAAAAAGACCATCCCGATCTTTTACAAAATTATGTAAGTCAGCAATTAAATTCGTAAATATTTAAATGAAATGCATGCCAATATTAATAGTCTCATTAGTCACAAAGCATGTTTAAATTTATATTTCATTTCTATCAGAAAATGTTATTCTTTTTTATTTCATAGATTAAGTTTCTCCTTTTCTTTTTTTCCTCGTCGATTTCCCCCTTAAGAATTTTGTCTATGTTGTTATTTTGTCTCGTCCATTTTTCTTTCCATATGCTCTGAATCTCTGATTTACCAATTTCGTTAGATCTTACTCGATTTTATTGTTCAATTTGCTTACATAAGTGACCAATTTAGACATTAGAATGCATTAACATGATATTTCCAATACCATTTCAAATTAATCTAATAATTTATCATTTCTACATATAATATCCATTAATCTAATTGATAGGACCCAATGGCTTCATACGACGTAAACGGTCAGGACTCCGACCCTAGCCCCAGGTACGACATGATAGACTCCAACAGACACGGTACCAGGTGTGCCGGTGAAGTAGCAGCCACCAGTAACAACTCCGTATGCGCTCTGGGCGTTGCGCACGGTGCGCAAGTTGGTGGAGTTCGAATGTTAGATGGAGAAGTCACAGACGCTGTTGAAGCGAGATCTCTTAGCTTAAATCCTCACCACATAGACATTTATAGCGCTTCTTGGGGCCCGGATGATGACGGCAAGACTGTCGACGGGCCTGGTGAGCTCGCGACCAGGGCTTTCATTGAAGGTGTCACTAAGGTATGTCCAAATGATCACGACGGGGGCTAATCAGCTAAAGAAATGTCTGATAACATGCATCTAAATTACTTAATAGAAGAATAAACTTTTTATAATAGTATTTTTTTTCTAGGGTCGGAATGGTAAGGGGTCCATTTTTGTTTGGGCTTCTGGAAATGGCGGTAGAGATCACGATAACTGTAACTGCGATGGATATACCAACTCCATCTATAGTTTGTCGATTTCCAGCGTCACTGAGCACGGTCACGTGCCTTGGTACAGTGAAGCTTGCAGTTCTACCCTAGCTTCAACCTACAGCAGCGGAGCAGTTGGTGAAAAGCAAGTAGTAAGTACTTTAATGTCAAATTTATTATTAGATTAAAAGAAACATCTGGTATATGATTATATTTTTCCAAGGTAACGACAGACCTAAGACACTCTTGTACGAGTAGCCACACGGGTACTAGTGCGTCGGCTCCACTAGCAGCTGGCATTTGCGCGCTAGCTCTCGAAGCTAATCCCAATCTGACCTGGAGAGACATGCAGCATATTGTTGTGAGGACAGCACGTCCTCAGAATTTGGAAGCGCCCGACTGGCAGACCAATGGGGTTAGTAGACGTGTTTCTCACAGCTTCGGATATGGTTTGATGGATGCCTACGCTATGGTGCAGTTGGCGAGGAATTGGACTACTGTTCCTGAACAACACAAGTGTGAGATTACAGCACAACAGGTTCCAAGGTGGGTTTTCAGAAATAATTTATTATAAACAAATTCAAGCTCCATTTGTGCTCCAGCTGCTGTAACTGTATAAGATTATTTTATTCGCAGAAATATTCCTCCTAAAAGTATGGTAACTCTTCAACTTCACGTAAAAGACTGTGAAGGGGTGGACATTCTCGAGCACGTCCAGGCAAAATTGACAATTTTTTCGCAAAGAAGAGGGGATCTGAAGATACAATTGACGTCGCCTTCAGGAACTAAGGTTGTTTTATTAGCTCACCGTCCACACGATAATTCTAGAGCTGGATTTAGCGTTTGGCCATTCATGTCTGTACATTCGTGGGGCGAGTCGCCTTTCGGCACTTGGCAGCTCGAAATTCACAATGACGGAAGACTGCTGGGTGAGTTTTCCTACCAATTTACCAATCTGTATATTCTAATATTTCGTGTCGTTAACTCTAAAAGGCTTGATACAATCATTTAAAAAATTAAACTATCTAAATCGTATTATCAATTTCGATCATTTTTCGCACTACAGGTTTAAAAGGCCTATAATAATTGTATTCGCCTTACTTGGGGTGCGTTCATATTAAAACTCTGCATAGATTAATTAATTTGAACGCATCTCGGTATGAGGAATCTACTAACCCTACTAACATGGTATTGGTTTTCAGGAAGGGCTTCGTTGCAAAACTGGACCCTCGTTCTATATGGAACGAGATATTTCGTACCCAGTTTGCCTAACGGTAGCGAAAAAAATAACAAACACAGAACGGGAACGAACAAACGGAAAAACAAAAAACACAAAAATAAGAATTTAAAAAACTCGATCGCGACCACCAGACCGCCGTCCTTTGAGAACAAAGTGCAAGCAAAACCCGCGACTGTGAATACCACGTTACGGATCAAAAAACCATTAGTGTCTAATAGCGATGTATCGCCGTATTTTTACGCCGTCTCGAACTATAATAATAACAAAATTAGATTGGACCAAAATAATGTCAAACAGTATCTGAAATTCGTTAAAAACATTACCATTACGTATCCCGTCATGATTCCAGCCAGGAATTTTATCAAAAATAATAATCAAAAAAAGTCGCAAAAATTAAAAGAAAAAAGTCGCGATATAAATTCGAATCGTAACTTAAAACTCGTGCCGAACGCTACAACGACCGCTGAAACCGTTCTAACAACAAAACCCACTTTAGCTACTCATAAGGACAATATTGGTAATTTCCAAGCATGATATTATCGTTTATAGCGTATTTGTCTCATATTGACAGCAAATTCTAAGAAATATAAGGTTAAAAGAAATGTTTTAATAATTATGTGCTAAAAGATACAACTTTACAACTAACTGTTGTGTATCTCTTTATCATGGCTTTATTCGACTGTTTTTGCTTTGGCTCTGCCTATTTTATGCTGCTGTTCTCCAGGAAATTAAAAATTATTTAGACTCTGTAATTTCCCCTTTTTACAAAATGAATGCAATTCTACTTTCTATGTATCTTTTACAGCCACGATTTTGTCTCTATTAAAGCTTTGTTTTCAAAATTAATGAAATTACAAAGAGATTGTAGATTGTATTAGGTTAATATAAAAACTTTATTTCTTTGAAAAATACTAGATTTATTAAATAATAGTAATAAGTAATATTTTACAAAACAGAAAAAATTATGATAAATGTTGTTTATTACTTAAGAAAATGTTCTAATGTATGAACAACTAAATATTTGTATCTTCCATTCCTTATTTTATCAAATAAAAAAAAATCTATGGAAAAACTATCCCTTTATTGGAGAAGCATCCCAAAACAGGCACATGGGAAAGCCTTCATAGGCAGACCATGTCCCAAAAGAACTGGAGAACTACTCTTAGTGAATAGGAACCAGTTGAAAATGAAAACAGCGTTCATGACTGGGCACGCCCCAGTAAAGGGACATTTGAACAAAATTGGCATGTACAATGGGGAACTCATGTGCTGACTATGTCACAAGAAACCAAAAATGGCCAAACACATACTGTGCGAATGCGAAGCTCTAGATCGCAAAAGACAGGCTCTTTTTGGACAACCCCAGGTTGATCCAACAATGTATAGAACCCACTCACCCAAGGATCTGTACAGACTTGTACAAGGTACAAAGGTGACAGAGTGGGTGCTATGAACTAACATGGGGTAAAACACAATAAGCCAATAGGCTTCAGTGTTATTCGGAGACACATAGTCAGACGAGCCCAGGAGAGAAAAAAATCCCTTTATAAGTCTCTTGACAGTACTGAAACATGATGTCATTATGTATCAACAACAGTGACATATGTAAAAGCTCTATATACTACATATTTACAATACATTATATATTTTGCTGAATATCAGCATTAATATTATATGCATCCAAGTTAAATCATTGCATATTATCCCTTTTTGGCATTCTATTTTTCAAAATTTTTCTTTCCATTTGTCAAAATAACATTTTTCTGAATTTATGATTAACTAGTTTCAATCATATAATAACAAGGATTTGCTTTCAATATGCTATAGACACACTCTAGTTAAACTTTTATTTGCTATTTAGCATGTTTTTTTTCTTTTTTCAAAATATACCTCGGAAAATTGTGTTTTTGCGTCTTAAATGTTGATATGCGATAATTTTTACTGTAATCTGAGGTATGACTTAAACCAAACATGTGCGTTAGATAAACACAGCTAGCCCATCTTATAGATATTATAGATAATGCTAACATTATTAATATTATTTTAGTTGGAATGATTTTTATTTTTTCAAATTTATGATTAGTTTTGTAGTGAACTTATTAGGCAGTTTGAATTGTAAACAGAGATTGGATATTTTACAACACACAGAGGAATTTGGAATATACCTTACACTGAACTGAACAAAGTATAATAGAAACATCAGTCAGAAACGTCGCGCATAAATCAGTAACTGATGTATATAGTGTGGCGAGCAAAGGACAAAGTACATTTTCCTAATAAAGTTTGTTCAACTCATTGTAAGTTATACTTTCAGTGGTAAAAATTCCGTACCTGTATGTAATACCTAGATATAAGATAAGATAAATAAATACATACATACCTACATACATACATTCATATACAACTTACTTCGAACTTCTACAGTTCAACTGACATAAGACAGACAGATCGACGAATACAAAATAGGTCATATGAACATTCCACTTCATATACAGTATTGGCCATCGAACATCTTCCAATATCCCTTGGCACAAAGAGCCAGTACTCGGGTAAGCAGCACAGGAACAATAACAGCGATGCCAGCATGTACGGCCTGGCCAACGTTTCAACGCGGTCGGTTCGTATAAATGGCACCTTTCTTTTTCCGCTCACTCCAATGCTAACTATCTATAGCTCTCACTCGCACGTGTTCATCTTGTAGTGGAAGAAGTTCAGTGGCCGACACTATATATCAGTAACATACATTACTGCAGGCAGTAGCAGTGCACAATATAAACTAATTGTAAATAAATATCCAATTTCTGATCTTTTAAAGAAACGATTATATGATTTTCTCTTGTTGTGTAGGCGAAGTAAGGAATTGGCAGCTAACCTTGTATGGTACAGCAACGCCGCCTGCATATGACACAAACGGAAAAGCAGATAGTACCAACACCATACCGGATACTTTTAGTGAAGACATTTTGCTCAATTCTATTTATGATTCGTCTTCAAATTGGGAAAGTGGAGCCGAGGTAAGGAAACATAATAAGTAACAAAACTACGAGAACCGCGATTTTTTATGGTTATTAAATAATTTGAGAAGAAGCCTGGTGACGTTTCTTTGAAAATATCAAAGGATTCATTTTGAATTATTTGTTTCAGAATCGAAAGGACATTTTAGAAGTAGAAGAGAAAGAAACATCGGGTTGTTCTCAACCTAAAGGCAATTTATGTTTAGGTTTGTTATGTTTTATTTTGATATTGTATTCGTATTCATTGAATATTCACGACACTTTACTAACTAACATATTTTCACTAATAACCGAATGTAAACGATTAGTTCGGGAGTCATGCCGAGAAGCGACGAGGATAATTAGCGAAAAATTAAATGTCTTGGTTGAAATAAGAGACCAGCAAAACTCTGACAACAATTTTCACAGATTTCATACATCACAAATGATATTTAAATCACGAATTTCGTTTTTAGTACAATTAAGAAATTTTATAGGTGCTTCAAAATACTTTTATATTATACACAAATGGTTGTACAGAAGTCGGGTATAAGTTTCTCGAAGTAGATTATTTTATTTTTATTAATGTTTTTTTTTAGCTACAATTGAGTACAGTGATGATATATCAAGTTATTTTTGTTTTATTTATTAAAGATCGCGTAATGTTGTAGATAATGTGTTTTAACGTACAGTATTGAGAGATCTGACCGCACTTTATACCTATACCTAATACTTTTTTAATACTCAAATAAGTTCAAAATCAATTTCAATGATGTTGGCCATTTCTTAAGTTCCATTACTGTACCTGATATAATAGTTACTTAAAGAGAGGTTTTGTTAAAAATGCAAAATATTTATTTTTATTGATATTTGTTTTTAATTAATTCTCTAGAGTTAAATAAAAAGAAGTATATGCAATACTTCACTGCCATCTACTTAAATGAAAGAAATCATTTTAAAACCGGCCAATGTTTATCAGTTTTTTACTTACACGCCTACTGAATTCAATTTTATAACAAACGAACTTGATTTTATAGAAATAAAAGTAATGTAACCCGGATTAAAGTCCGACAGTCCGGTGGCCGTATCAAAAACAATTTTAGCAATAAATCGGGAAAAGGTTCATTCAATAAAAATATTTGAATAAATGAAATGTGCCTTTGGTTACTAGTAGATTATAGTTTAAGTTCTTTTAAGAGCAATTGCTCCGGTGATACGCTGAAAACTCGAATTATTTTATTTTTCAACAATTTCCAAGAAAGATATTTTATTAAATTTCCTTTTTTTATTAAATAATATTTATTCAGTGCATTAAAGTGATAGTGTATAGATTTTTGCTTTGATTTGGTTCATTGTGTTTGAAATATTCGGTCTAGATTGAAAACTTAATGATATTTTAGTTGCATTACATTTTTGAACCAATTAGCTTCACATCTAAGTAAAACCAGTTTAAAAAATATATCATATTTTTAAAACGATTTTAATGGAATTACGTTAGTTGAACTAAATCCAGTGAATTCTAACGCACATAATTGTACAAAAACAATATCAATTTTTGTTAATTAGAAAACTAATGTAAATCTCATTAAATTCTTTATTTGCCATTTTTTAAATAAAAATGTGCCAAATTATCAAACTAACGTAACAATTTCGATATTAACTGAAGGTTTTTGTGGTAGCAATTTTCAGACTTACAATTTAAGTGCAATTACCCCATGTATCAATAATGTTATAATCAAACGCTGTTTTAAAGTACAGTTTGTTAAAAAAAATTCACCCACAGTACGGGTAATTTTTTTATTGACGGCAACTCATATATTTTAAGTTATACCAATTTTATGTAAGGTAATGTTTACTGTGATTGTTTTTTGTACATAACTTGAGAGACTTGTTTTATTTTATGTTATATATACTTATGAAAAGTAGTTCCTGAACGTATGTTAACCATTAATTTTAAGTGACACAAGAACTGGAAAGTATGGAGTTGTGTCTAGGTAGATAAGTTACGGTTAAGCTTAAAAAAATACACTGTTTCTCGTATCGAACACATATTCTTTTCTATAGCAGTTATACTCGGTAATATCATCAAAGTAGTTCAAAATTAGCTGAACAATAAGTTAATAAAATTTGATTTACTTCAATCTACGTCTACGTAGTATTATAACACAATAGGCGATTATAAACGGGTGGGTTGTCCACTTAGGCCTCACTAGACCTATTGTGCATCCTTACCGGTTGACAACGTTGCTGAGAGGTGTCTAGGGACTGCCACTCGGCTCGTAAAAGTCCTGCAGGTTAATAAATCGTCGAGAGATGTCTGTAAATGCCCCATTGGTAGTTGCGCAATTTTATTTTGACCGGAAGAAGCCATTTGGTGGGCTTCTCCCATCCCGATTATACGCGATTATATTATATTAATACTCTTATCTATAATTTTTTCTCTTATTTCTGACAGAAAAGGAAACACTTATAGACTTACAGATGATGAATCTCAGCCACCATCATATATGATTAAATTGACCATATTACAACACACTACAACAACTAACTGGACTATAATATTATGTACTTACTGATACTCATTTATAAGTGTGATAATGTATGTTGGTGATGCACCATGTAGATATAATGAGCCCTACCTGATGAATGACTTAACTAGGTCAAAATAGTTGTCAAATAATGCACCTTAAATGGAAAAGGTAATTCAAAGTCTAAAGAGGCAAACAGTCTTGGAAAGTAGTTATTTAGAGTTGTAATATGGTCGAATCAATCAAACAAATCTAAGCCTAACAATTTATCTTGGTTTGATATTACCGATTTTTTTTATAGTCCTGTCTTCCAGTTTTATTTCAATTTTCTGTATTTTTGACAGCTGCATTTTGTTACACAACACAAAATCTGTGGATTTTAAGTAAAGAAACCAGGAAGAGTGTATTCTTTTAAGTCCTCTAAAATTTAAACAGCTGTTTACTTTTAAGAAAATGTCCTTTAGTAATTGGCAATTATTTAGCTTGGAGTTTAAATTTTCGAGGTTAGGTACGGATAGTCACCCTTAAAAGATATTATTGGCTCAAATTGGCAAAAGTGAATGCCGAATACGTTGTACGTGTGTCCTTTGTGTTTTTCTTGGTCGCTGGCCTAAAAATTTATCTTTTGTAAAATCGAATCACTTTTTATTCAACAAAAACCCCTTTTAAGGTTTGCTGAAATACGCACTAGTTTGGTACCACTTCACAATGCTAGTCAAAACTCTTAATATCAAAAAGTTGGCATACAATTTAAAGACGTTTGAAAGTAGACAATCTGGTCAATTCAACCAATTTAGACGTTTAAAAATATAATAATTCTGATTTTAATTTTTGTTTTAAACATGTGAAAATACCTAAAATAACTTACTCGAGATGTCCTAATAAGAGCGCGAAAGTGTTTTCATTGTTAGATATATGACGTTCAAAACCGAAATATGACAGAATTTTGAATAAATTATTTAAGATTTTTTCCCAAAATAAATAATCAAACAGTGCAGCTTTAAATATTTTTATTGTTATATTGGTGAATATATAATGTGTATAATTTGAAGCCAACATTTTGTCTTTCCATGTAAGTCTTCCTTGTATAAAGCTTATGCATATCGACTGCTGAAGTTACCAAACTAAATAGCGTTGGTTCTAATAATAAAAATTGTGTTATTATATGTAAATAATATTTGTAATCTATACA